CACAGTAAGAATTAAAAGGACAATTATGGGTATATTAACTCAATCAAGACATTTCAATGTGCTTAAAATCTGTCTTGATACAGAGGAAATACTCTAACAAATATTAGTTGCTGCTACTATTTTTTTCTTCTTAAAGGCATTTTATTTTAGTTTTTTATTTCCAACTTTTATTTTAAGTTCGGTGGCACATGTGCAGGATATAAAGGTTTGTTACATAGGTAAATATGTGCCATGGTGGTCTGCTGCACAGATCAACCATCACCTATGTATTAATCCCAGCATCCCTTATCTATACTTGCTGACCCTCTCCCTTCTCCCACCCCCGACTCCTATAGGCCCCAGTGTGTGTTGTTCCCCTCATGCGTCCATGTATTGTCATCATTTAGCTCCCACTTATAAGTCAGAGCATGTCGTATTTGGTTTTCTGTTCCCGCATTAGTTTGCCTAAATAATGGCCTTCAGCTCTATCTACGTCCCCACAAAGGACACTAATCTAGTTCCTTTTCATTGTTGCATAGTATTGCATGGTATATATGTACCATATTATCTTCACCTAGTCTATCATTGATGGACATTTAGGTTGATTCCATGTCTTTACTATTGTGAATAGTCCTGCAATAAACAAAGATGTGTATGTGTCTTTATAATAGAATGAATTATATTCCTTTGGGTATATACCCAGTAGTGAGATTGCTGGATCAAAAGGTATTGCTGCCTCCAGGTCTTTGAGGAATTGCCACACTGTCTTCCTGAATGGTTGAACTAATTTACATTTCTACCAACAGTGTAAAAGCATTCCTTTTTCTACACAACCTCGTCAGCATCTGTTGTTTTTTGACTTTTTAATAAAAGCCATTCTGACCGCTGTAAGATGGTATCACATTGTGGTTTAGATTTGCATTTCTCTAATGATCAGTGATATTGAGCTTTTTTTTCATGTTTGTTGGCTGCATAACTGTCATCTTTTGGGAAGTGTCTGTCTGTTCACGTCCTTTGCCCACTTTTTAATGAAGCTGTTTTATTTCTTGAAAATATATTTAAGATACTTATAGATGCTAGATATCAGAGCTTTGTCAGATGCATAGATTACACAAATCTTCTCCCATTCTGTAGGTTGTCTGTTTAACCTGTTGATAGTTTCAGAAGCTATTTAGTTTAATTATTAGGTTGGTTCAAAAGTAATTGTGATTTTGCTACTAAAAGCAATGTGAAAACCCGCAATTACTTTTGCACCAACCTAACAGACCTTCTTTGTCAGTGTTTGCTTTTGCTGCCGTTGCTTTAGGCCTCTTTGTCATGATATCTTTGCCTGTGCCTATGTCCTGAAAGGTATTGCCTAGGTTTTTCTTCTAGAATTTTTATAGTTTTGGGTTTTACATTTAAGTCTTTAATGCATATTGAATTGATTTTTGTATGTAGTATAAGGAAGGAGGTCAGTTTCAATTTTCTGCATATGGCTAGCCAGTTGTCCCAGCACAATTTATTAAATAGGGTATCCTTTCTCCATTGCTTGTTTTTGTCAGGTTTGTCAAAGATCAGATGGTGGTAGGTATGCAGTCTTTATGTCTGGGTTTTGTATTGTTCTCCATTGGTCTGTGTGTCTTTTTTTTTTTTTTTTTTTTTTTTTTGTACTAGTACCATGTTGTTTTGGTTACTGTAGCACTGTAGAATAGTTTGAAGTCAGATAACATAATGCCTCCAGCTTTCTTTTTGCTTAGGATTGCCTTGGCTACTCAGGCTTTTTGGTTTCATATAAATTTTAAATTATTTTTTTCTAATTCTGTGAAGAATGTTAATGATAGTTTCATGGAAATAGCACTGAATCTATAGATTGCTTTGGGCAGTATGGCCATTTTCATGGTATTGATTCTTCTTATCCATGAGCATGGAATGTTTTTCATTTGTTTTTGTCATCTCTGATTTCTTTGAGCAGTGGTTTGTAGTTCTTCTTGAATAGGTCCTTTGCTTCCCTTGTTAGCCATATTGCTAGGTATTTTACTCTTTTTGTGGTGATTGTGAATGAGAGTTCATTCATGATTTGTTTCAGACTTGCCTATTGTCAGTGTATAGGAATGCTAGTGATTTTGCATGTTGATGTTGTATCCTGAGACTTTGCTGAAGTTGCTTATCAGCTTAAGTAGCTTTTGGGCTGAGATGAGGAAGTTTCCTACATATAGGGTTATGTCATCTGCAAAAAAATAAAATTTGATTTCCTCTCTTCCTTTCTGAATACCTTTATTTTTTTTCCTCTTGCTTGATTGCCCTGGCCAGAAGCTTTATAAGTGAAGGAGAAATAAAATCCTTTCCAGACAAATAAATGCTGAGTGAATTCATTACCACCATATCTGCCTTACAAGAGCTTCTGAAGGAAGTATTAAATATGGAAAGGAAAAATTGTTATCAGCCTAAAAAACACACTGAAATACACAGACCAGTGACACTATGAAGCAAACATATAAACAACTGTGCAAAATAACCAGCTAGCATCATGATAACTGGATCAAATACACTCATAACAATACTAACCTTAAACGTAAATAGGCTAAATGCCCCTATAAAAAGACACAGAGTGGCAAGCTGGACAAAGAGCCAAGACCCATTGGTATGCTGTTTTCAAAAGACCCATCTCATGTGCAAAGACACTCATAGGCTCATAAAGGGATGAAGACAAATTTACCAAGCAAATGGAAAACAGGAAAAAGCAGGGTTTGCAATCCTAGTTTCTGACAGAACAGACTTTAAACCAAAAAAGATCGAAAAAGACAAAAAGAAGAGCATTACATAATGGTAAAGGATTCAATTCAACAAGAAGTAACTACACTAAATATATATGGACTCAATACAGGAGCACCCAGATTCATACAGCAAGCTCTTACAGACCTTCAAAGAGACATAGACTCCCACACAATAATAGTGGGAGACTTAAAACCTCACAGACAATGTGAGACAGATCATCAAGACAGAAAAGTAATAAAGATATTTAGGACCTGAACTCAGTTCTGGCTCCAGAAGATAGCTATTTAGTAGATTCTGACAGTTATCTGCAGAACTCTCCACTCCAAAACAACAGAATATACGTTCTCCTCGTTGCCACATGACGCTTACCCTAAAGTTGATCAAATACAACCTGCTAATGATAATCACCCAGTCAATCGTACTTCCTTTAGCCAAATCCAATTAATTTTTATAATCCAAAATTGTTTTAAATTTTGAGAACAGTTTACTTTTCTGATGACTAGCTATCTCCCGAACAGCATCCCTTGGGAATATTCAATGCCAACATTCTCTCCTATTATTTGAAGATTTCCTCCAAGATTATATTTCCTTCCTTTTCATGCTTGTTTCTTAAAATAAGTGTTCCCTAGTTGTCAGGATTAATATTTTAGAAAAGATTAATCCCGTTTACCTGAATTATTTTAAGTAAAGAAGCTACCCATAAAATGAAAAGCAGGCAATCCTCTTCTCACCTTTGTATCCACATTATCATCCATTAATTACTCTAATATTTATTGAATGCCAACTCTGTGTCAGAAAAAAATGCTAGATGTTGGGAATGCAGTGATAAGTTAACACACAGTCTTGGCATCATGTTGCTTAATTCAGCAATCAGAAATCTTGACATCAAATTAGATCTAGTCACTTCTTTCTTACATCTCTTCAATGGCTTTCCATTTAGCAAAATTAAACAAGGCCTTGTGTGGTCTTGTACCCACTGACCACATTCCTTATTCCCTCTACTCTGGATTCAGTCACATTATTTTGATCCCTTAAATGTGCCATGTTTCACTCACCTCAGGCACCTGGTACATTTTCTGTCTTCCTGAAATAGTCATCCTTACAGTCTATACCTAACTCACCCCCAGGCTTCTTTCAATTCTCTCTTTAACTATTATGGAATACCAGAAAGAATTAAATATTCTAGATTTTTCCCCTGTAGCACTATATAACTCTTCTTCATAGAAAACATATTATTGATCCAGGAATGTATGTGATATTTGATTAATGTCTGTCCACGTCCACAGATTAGAAGCTGTGTGCATGTAGGGGCTGAGGTTCTGCCTTTGCTCCACACTTATCCTTTTTATTCTTTGCTTAGCTCATGTAGAACATAGAAACTGACACATTGAAGGAACTCAAAATAAATACATTTGTTAAGTAAAGATATGCAAATTGTCTCTTTTCATTATCACCTTGACCTATGTTTGACAATGTGAGAAAAAAAAATTTACAATGAGAAAATATTTTAGGTGAAGACATTGATATTTTATATATATCAGTGGTGACTGTTGTTCTCTAAGTGTTTAAAATCAAGTTATTCTTAGAACTTCTCCAAGGTAGTATTCAACAGACAAGTTAATATTCAATTTTAAATCAATATAAAATTATACTTACTAGAAGAATTAATGAGATATCATACAATCCAAATAGAAAAGTATATGTATACAAGTGGCTAATTAGACAGATGGATAAATAGATAGATAGATAGACGACAGACTCACATCAACATCTACAGTAGGCACATTAGAATAAAGTATCTCAGCCTGTTTTCTAAATAGTTATACTCTAGAATCACCTGGAGTACATTTTAAGATGGCAAATATCTCAGCCTCCTTGGCCATCCTCTCTGGCTATAAAATAATCACCATAGCCTTATTATGATGATGCTTTGATTCTTTGCATTTCATTGAAATTACTTTTATTTAATTCTTGACTATTATCATTGGGACATTTCAGGAAGATTAGAGACAAAACAAACAAAGATGGAGAGAAACATTGTTAGTGTAGTCTACATCAGATCTTCCCACCTTAGCAAAATATATTTTCTGAAGAAAAGATCTAAACAGTCGTCAAACAATAATTAAAATGTAATTATATCACAAAGTGACACTATTTTATCATTTTAATGGCCTGACAGCATGAATTATTCATACCTCTGCCAAATTTCCATTCAGGAAAAGATGAGTGAGTTGCCTGAATCACAAAAAGTATGTTCTTTTTACCTTCTTTAAAGAAAGGATTCCTTCTCTGGTCTCTTTGTCAGTGGAGATTGAGAATATCCCCATGCCATCACCATTTATGATGGAGTAGGTCATGTCAGCATTTGAGCCAGTATCGGCATCATTTGCCTTGATTTTCCCAACAGCTGAACCAACTTGAGCTGACTCAGGAACATATAGCTGATAATGTTCTGGAAGACATTTCATATTAAATATATTTAAATACAATGTTCATGAAATAATCTTACAAGAAAAAGACAAATATTTAGAGCACATATTCAAATGAACATTTTATGAGGTAATACATCAAATGGACTTTTTTAGATTTTAAAAGTAGACTATTCAGTAATTAAATACTAGATTTATATAAACTTTAAAAGGTATGTAAAACACTTTGCATGAAAAGATTTGTATATTTGAATGTGAAATATTTTATTAGCTCTAAACCCTTAAACTACAGACAATTAGAGGAGAGGTCAAGTTTTCATTCTGATTCTGAACCAAAACTGAATTAGTCAAGTATTAGTGTAATCCCAATTTATACTTCCCCGTATTGTAACATGTGATGTTCAAATACAAAAGTCTGGAAACAAAAAGTGTGGAAATGTAGAATTCAACAGAAAAACAAGATAAAATGCACAGCCTATTTGTGAATATAGATAATTATTTTTATCAAGTATAGTGAGATATACAGTCATGTCAGAGAAAGTGAAAGTATTTATATATTTCTTTAGCATAAATTCCCTATCAGCTTCTAAAAAGGATTTGAGGTGGCTTCATAATCAAGTTTTAAATAATATAAAGTTATTAAAATTTTAAAAAATCGATTACAGAGTTGAAGTATGAGAAAGTAAATGTCTATGTAAAATTAAACAGCATTTGTGAATTAGCATTAATTTTGACAGCTAGTATTTTAGGTGAAGACACTGATATTTTATATATGCCAGTGGGGATTATTGTTCTCTAAGTGTTTAAAACCAATTTATTCTTAGAACTCTGCTGTGGTAGTATTCAACAGACAAGTTAATATTCAATTTTAAATCAATATAAAATTATAATTACTGGAAGAAGAATTAATGTGATTTCATGCAATCCAAATAGAAAAGTATATGTGCACAAGTAGCTAGACAGATGGATAGATCGACAGATAGATAGATAGATTAGATAGATAGCTAACAATTTTAAAGCACTGTTAATTTTATACTCTCATTGTCTAATAGGTACAAATATCATTTTTCCAAAGTTTGTCCTGATATTAAATGTCAAATGGAACCGTTTCTATAGTGCTTATATTAGGAAGCATAATGAACATGTTTTTAATAATTGTTTTATTCACAAGTTAAAAAAGCTTATTAGAGCAATTTATTATAGAAAATTCAAAAAATTATAAATAACAGAAGCCCAGAAATCTTGAATTAAAATGTAATTTAATAAAATAATTTCTACAAGATTAAATTAATAGTGATTCAATGCTATACAAGGATATAGTTAGACTATATGGATAAGTGAATGCACAATCTCTACAAAAATAATTTCAGTAAGACAATCATTTGTCATTAGTGGTATGATACTGAAAACAGAAGTCTAATCTAGTGAATGTTGAAAATATATTTTTGTTATTATTGTGATAAGAACACTTAATATGAGATCTATCCTATAAACAAATTTCTACACAACACAGCATTGCTATTCATAGACACAGTGTTTTTCAGCAGATCTCTAGGACTTACTCATTTTGCATTACGATAATTTAATATTTGCTGATTAGCAACTCCTCATTCACCTTCCCTAGTCCCTGGTAACAACCACTCCATTCTTGATTGTATGAATTTTACTATTTTATATACCTCATCTAATTGAAATCATGCAGTACTATATTTGCCCTTCAGTGACTGGTTGATTTCATTCAGCCTACTGTCCTCAGTATTCATCCATGTTGTTGTATATTGCAAGATCTCTTTTTGTAAGGCTAAATACTATCCCATTGTATGACAAACCACATTTTTCTCTACATTCTCTGTCTATGGACATTTAGATTGTTTCCACATCTTAGCTATTGTGAATACTGCTGCAATACACATAGGAATGCTAACATTTATCTGTAATCCTGATTTCAGTTTTTAAAATAAATACTTAGAAGTGTGGTCATTAGGTCATGCAGTAATTTTACTTTTAATTTTTGAGGGATCTTTAGACTATATTCTGTAGATGCTACGCAAGTTCACATTTCTACCAACAGTGTGCAAGGGTTCAAAGGTCTTCACATCCTCAACAATACTTTTCTGTCATTGGCTTTTTTTCATAAATATCCATCCTGACAGGTATGAGGTGTTATCATACTGTAGTTTTGATTTGCATTTCCATGATGACTGGTGACATTGAGAATCTTTATACATACCTATTGTCCATTTGAATGTGTTCTTTAGAGAAACAGCTACTCAGGTCTTAGGCCCATTTTTTAATCAGGTTATTGATTTTTTTTTCCTTCCTTCTTCTTCCCCTTCTCCCTCTCCTCCTCCCTTTCTCTCTCACCTCTCTCTCTCCCTCCCCTTCTTTACCCATTCCCCCTCTCCTTCTTCCTCCTCCTTCTCCTTTTCCTTCTTCTTCTCCTTCTTCTTCTCCTTCTTTCTTTTCATTATTGAGTTGTAGGAGTTTTATTTTGGAAATCAGCCTTTTAGCAGACATGGCTTGCAAATATTTTATCCCACTCCATAGGCTGCTTTTCACTCTGTAGATGGTTTCCTTTGCTGCGTTAAAAATTTATAACTTGATATAGTCCCATTTGTCTATTTTTGTTATTATTGCCTGGGATTTGTGGGTCATATCAGATTAAATATTATCAAGACTAATGTCATAAGGCTTTACCCCTATTTTTTTCTTTTAAGAGTTGTGCAGTTTCAGATTTTATGTTTAACTTGTTAATCCAGTTTGAATTGGTGTTTGTGTATGATGTACAAAAAGAAGCCATTTTCATTCTTCTGTATATAGATATTGAGTTTTCACTGCATTGGTTTTTTTTTTGTTTGTTTTGTTTTGTTTTTTGAGATGGGGTCTCGCACTCGCTGGAGTACAATGGTACATCTGGGCTCACTGCAACCTCCGCCGCTGGGTTCACACGATTCTCCTGCTTCAACCTCCCGAGTAGCTGTGATTACAGGCACACACCACTATACACGGCTAATTTTTTGTATTTTTAGTAGAGACAGGGTTTCACTATGTTGGCCAGACTGGTCTCGAACTCCTGACCTTGTGATCCGCCTGCCTCTGCCTTCCAAAGTGCTCCGATTACAGGCGTGAGCTACGTCGCCCGACCTGTTTTTAAAGAGACTATCCTTTTCCTACTGTGTATTCTTAGCAACCTTGTTGAAGATGATTTTACTACCTATGTCTGGATTTATTTAGAGACTCTAACTCTGTTCCACAGGCCTACATATCTGTCTGTATGCCATTACCATACTATTTTAATTACTGCAGCATTTTAAAATATTTTGAAATCAGCAAGTGTGATGCCTCCAGCTTTGTTCTTCTTTTTCAACATTGTTTTGGTTCTTCAGGGCCTTTTTCTTTCTACATATATTTTAGAATTGTTCTTTGCTATCTCTGTAAAAAATGTCATTTGGATTTTGATAGGGATTTTACTGTACTTGTAGAGTTAAAATATAGTGTAGACATTTTATGAGAGTGCCACAGATAACATTACACACAGAAAAAGTTAATGCTTTTGCATTAAGATCAGGAACAAAGCAAGGATGCCCACTCTTACCACTTATTTTCAAAATAGTACTGAAAGACATAGCCAGAGCAATTAAGCATGTAAATAAAAGGGAACTAAATCAGAGTGAAATAAGTAAAACTGTCCTTGTTTGTAGATAATATAATATTACATATATAAAAAAATACAGGGTCCACAAAAAACAAAAATTGTTATAACTAATAAAAAAATTCAGTAATGTTGCAGACATAAAATCAACATAAAAATTAGTTGCATTTACACATACTAATAAAAATTTTTGAAAAAATTAGAAACACAATCCCATTTATAATAGCATTGAAATGAATTCAATCTGTGCAAATAAACTAAGGAAGTGAAAGTCTCATGCACTGAAAACTATAAAACATGGATGAAAAATGTAAAAAGACAAAAGGAAGTGAAGGACTTACACACTGTAAACTAGAAAACATGGATGAAAAATATAAAAAGACAAATAAATTGAAAGACATTCAGTGTTCATGGTTTAAAATATTTATTTGAACCGGGTGCAGTGGCTCGAGACCAGTTGGAGACCAGCCTGACCAACACGGTGAAACCCCATCCCTACTAAAAATACAAAATTAGCTGGGTGTGGTGTTGCATGCCTGTAATTCCAGCTACTTGGGAGACTGAGGCAGGAGAATCGCTTGAACCTGGGAGGCAGAGGTTGCAGTGAGGCAAGGTTGTGCCACTGCACTCCAGCCTGGGTGACAGAGTGAGACTCAGTCTAAAAAAAGAAAAAAATTGATAAACTCCTAAAGACAAAATGTGTAATTTTAAATGTATATGTATAGATACTAAGGGTTGACACATGTGTTCACGTATGTGTTTGTGTTTATTCAATATTCAAGAAATATTTTTCTCAGCTCTCTTTCATAAGCATTGGAGAATACACCTGACATAAACTCACAGCAAAGTGAAGAAAACATTAGCTTTTAGTTTAATTAAACTAAATGTCCAAATAAAGTACTTTCAACCAACGTATCTTTTCCTGTGTAAAGCACCCTCTTCTTTTAGACAAATGATCCTTTGACCTTAACCATATGGTTTTATCAAGATCTACCATTACTAAAAGATCTATCTTCCTTGATTCTGTGAATTGACATGGAAGAGCATGAGACCCAAGCGTTTATAGGATCCCTTCTTCCTTCTCACAGTTGATTGGTGAAGGGTAGGCAGCTGTTTCAAACATCTCCCAGAAGAGCATATTTCTCAAAAATGTTGAACTGGAACTAGAAAATAACTTTCATCTCTCTTTGGTGGCACATCTATGAAATACTAAGAAAAGGCTTTTGCCAATGGTCATGTTTCCAAAATTCATGTTGAAAGCCCAAATCTAAGGGCATAAAATCAGCATCAAAGAGAAGCCATGTGATTTGCACTGGCCTTGAAAATACCATGATGTTCCTGAAAAGTCACATCTATAATGGGACACTGTTT